TCAGTCTGAGAGGAGAGCTCTCCTCCAGCTTGTTGTGGAACAAACAGCTCCGTATGTCCGTTAGTGCAGCTAGCTAACCAGATGCTAACAACACGGTCCCTGCTGCTGGCACCGGTCCCTCTCTCTCTCCCCCTCTCTCACACGCGAGCTTGAATGACACAAGCACACTTTTATTTCCATGCAACTCTCTGATTGGTCTGGTGTCTTGCCTCTGTTGCATTCAATGAACACGGGAAATTACAGTCCTGCCGTCCTTTCTAGTGTCTTGATGAGGTTCACGTAAAGCACGGTTAATGTATTATATTATTGAGGTAGAATTGTCCGGGGCTACAGAAAAAACATTCGGGGCAGGCCAAAATATTATTTTACCAACAATGTGGAATTTATTGGCTACATATTACACAGATTATGCACAGCGGGAGCAGCAATAACCGTCAAATAATAATTCAGACAGGGGAGCTCCGCACCCCCTGCCTGCCGCTAGGGGGTGCTGCAGCGCCCTCAGCACCCCCCTTCCCGCGCCCATGCACACACACACACACACACAATGTTCGTATTTAGTCTCCTGATTTTAAATACCCTAGTATGGTTTTGTCACCATTTCCATAGCCCCACCAAAAATATTTTCCACCAGCCGCCACTGAAAGCAATACATCTACAACTTTTTAAAACGTTTTAGAGGCCTCCATGCCTTGGTCAGATGCTCCTGGTGCAAACCAAAGAAACGTTTATAATGAAAAAGCCACTGGGAATAAAGCATACTGAAGGAGATTTAAGAGATCTGAAGAGAGTGTTTTACCTTCGGGTGTCCAGCAGGGGAGTACGCAGCATATGGCTGAACCACCTCAGGGTCATCTTGGTCAGGAGTATAACTCTTCTCCTTTTCTCTGGCAGCGTACAGCACAGTCTCCGACGGGCTCACTGAAAGAAACAGCTCATTGTGAATGGTCTGCTAGTACAGTTAGTTCAAGTCACCAGGGCAAAGACATCACACAAATGTATTTGTAATGTAGTATAAAGGAGACCTATCATGCTATATTTGAATAATATATTGTAGGGCCATACCTATGTAAGGTATATTTATACGTTTTCTTTTTCAAAATACCAAACAGATCATGCATTTTAGCCATGCCTCATTTTGCTCTATTTTGCTCTCCTCCACCCTGTCTTTGCATGCGCTGCAGCTGACCACGCCCCCCTGCAAAGGAGTTACAAGCGTCATGTTACCATGCTGTTACCATGCCACGGCAACCTCTCATTCTCCTGATTGGTGGAGAGTTGGCCATATAGGCGGAGCTCCTCGTCACTGACGTCAGACTATTTTCAAATCTGTATCAGTCTGGATCAGATCCGTTGCAACCCCGTTTTTAGAGATTTGGGTATGGGGGAAAAGAGAGAGGGTTGTGTTTTCTGACACTTGGTAAGTTCCCTGACACACCGGGGACACATATTCATGTATAAAAGACATACAAAGGTGAATTTTGCATGATAGGTCCCCTTTAATGTTGACCTTTTTAGATTGGTTCCAGTTTTCTTTTAAATTTGAATGAGTATGGAATGTAGTCAAATACAACAAAATACGTTTTTTTGTTTTGAAGCATGTTAGGACAAATAAAAAAAGAGTAATTGAATAATTTTCAGCTGGCTTTTTCATAAATGTTCTTCCCTATGGTAATTCTGCAGATACACAGTTTATATATTAAAAAAAAATTTAAATCTGGTTTTACGGCAGATTTAACTGCATTGAATCATATGGCACAACTGTAAAGCCGAGTGATTCACTGCATCTCATATATTAACTTGCCATTTGAACAGTTTCTGTTTATTCAGAGTTATAGAACAGCTACCTGATAATGCATCTTTACCCCTGAATGGAGGGCTGTAGTGTGTCTGTCCCCTCTTTAGTTTAAACATATTTTACAGCCTGTTGACTCACCTACAGTGACCTTGTTTGGGTTCTCGGGGTCGGGGAAGGACAGGTAGACCATGTACTCCTCTCTCCAGGCCTGGTCCAGACCCGTTTCGGGGTCCTGCCATCTCTTTAGCATGAACTGCACCGTCTGCTCGTCTCCGGCTGTGGTGGCCATATGGGGCACTTTGGTCAGCTCCCTGTGGAAGAAGAAGGCGTTAAAGAAGATGTTTTGGATATTCAAATGCCTAAAATATGAAAGGGCTATGAGGTATTTAAAGGGTTTCTTCAGTAAACCACAAAAGGATCAAGTGATCTGTTGTTCTACGAGAAACTTTAATACACTATAGGGAAAAATGCTAAATGAATTCCATGGCTTCATACTAATGTGTATTAGTCTTTTCGATGTGAATGACAACAATTGCTTCTTTTGTATTCCCTGTTCTCATCTTGTAATCAGTGGAACGAACAACATCAATAGACAATATTAAACAGTATACCATGATAATAGAAAAACAAATCACCTAAGGTTTTCTTGAATCTGGATGTTGTCCACCTCAGACAAGAACTTCTTAATGAAGCTCTCGTCCACATCTTTGGTCACATCCTTCACCCAGGACGGTGCCGAGTTGCTGCTCTTATTGATACCAAAGTGGCCAATTAGGATCCCGAAGGTCAGTACGGCAGCACTACACACAATCCCAATCAACAGCTGCTTTATCATCCTCTCTGTGGAATGAAGTCTTCAAAGGAAAAGTTCTGCTTGTCTTTGGACCTGAATCCTTTACCAGAGAAGGAGCTCTCTCCAAATGTCAGGAGTGTTGTTGCGTTGCTTGTGTAAGAGAAAACCCTCACACCACACTTTCAAATGATTGCTGCAACACCAGTGCAGCTCCAATAAGAAGAGACAGGCTCATTGTAAAGTTTACTCATTAATGTTTGAAGATGGGATGGACTTTATCCATGTGTTACTGTGTGAGTGTGTGTGTGTGTGTGTGTGTGTGTGTGTGTGTGTGTGTGTGTGTGTGTGTGTGTGTGTGTGTGTGTGTGTGTGTGTCTGTGTGTGTGTGTGTGTGTGTGTGTGTGTGTGTG